GGCAGAACTGGGAACCAGATCCTGGTTTGTCTGACTCCTGAGCCCAGACACTGCCCTTCTGTAAGACTGGACTCCCAGGCGTGCCATCGTCATGTTTACCTGTGGTCTCGGTACTCGGTTCACCAGCTATAGAAGTGTTGGCCAGTTAGGTAAAAAGGTTAGGTAGTGGTTATGTCTGTCAGACTTTATCTCCCCCTTCCTCCAGAGTATAATGTTTATGGCTTTGTCTGTTGGGTGTTTATGGGGATGGCAGTTGATTTTACTCTGTTCCTCATCTTGGGAAATGGCCCATCAGCCTTATGCCCAGGGGATGACAGTCACCCAGAGATCTGGTTAAAGGCCTCCTCCTCCCAACTTGTGGAGAGGCTGGATAAATCAATGTGCTGGGGTTGGCTTGGAAGCCCTGTGTTTTCTGGAATTTGCAGGGTGGTCTGTGCTTCTGTCTGCAGTCTGATCTGGGTTCATGCTCACTCTATGTCCGCTCTACTCTCAGGGCCCTGGTAGGTAGAGACACCCCAGCAGCTGTCGATGCCTCTTCTTTCCTCTTTGAAGGATCTGATGCTGCTGCCAATGAGGGCTACTTCATCTATTAAACCCAATACACTTGTCGCAGCTGCTAAGCCCCCGTAAGCCGCCGGGCGCCGTGTTTGTGATGGGACTGACAGTGCATGGAGGAGGCTGATTATACACGATTCCATTTCGCGGGCCCAGCAATGTAATTTCACAGGGCGATCAGCGTTTGCATGTAATAGCAGGCTGTGCTGAGGTGTCAGAATATTAAAGGCGCTAATGGCAAAGCTCCCTGTTACACAGGGGGCCACCCGCCGCGCCTACAGCAGGGCTGCGTGGCAGGCCCGTCGCAGATGGCTGGCCACTAAGCTAATGGGGCAGCAGCCAAGGCAGGCAGAGCCACAAGAGGGGAGAGCCAGCCGGGAGCAGCTCGGCACCTGCTTCCCTGCGCATGGAAATTACAGCAGCCCAGGGGAAAGGAAGTGTGCATGCCTGCCTGGCACAGGGCTGGGATGGCGCAGTTTGGTAGACCAGTATTTCTCACCCCAACTCCATCTGCCCTGGATAGGACTTGGACTCCTCAGACATCCTTCTACCTGCCCCACCCTCTGGTCAGGGACCCATCAGGTAGGCCCTGATGGCCGGGAGAAGTGCAGCTGGAAAAGTGGCACCCAGAGAATTTGGAACCAGCATGGAAACGGGGCTCAGGCACAGATCTTGGCAAGAGCTCTTAAAACAGATTGCTGCCCTGTACTGATCAAGGTCAGAAAGCTTCTGGGTCCCTTACCCCCACACCGCACAGGCTGGCAGGGGGAGGGGGGGATAGGAAGCAAGCAGGGGGAAATGGGGTAGACTAATTAGGGCCCCTCAGTTGATGCCAGTTTGCACAAAGCTGAGAGGCAGCACTTCAAGATATGGCTCCTTCTGTCCATGTTGGCTACCCCAGCAACACCCAACCCTTGCCTGTGCACTCACTAACCTTGCTCCTGTAATTCTCCTTTGCCCCTGCTATATCTTCTACCTGGTATACTCCAGCACCACTCCTTCCAGGGAGCTTTCCTAGCCACCTCTAATCCCACAGGGCTATCTGTTTCCATTGTCCCTGTAGGCAACCCAAGGGGACAGCCTCCCTGAATCCTGCTGCTCTGATGGTTCCCTGGGTCCCAGACTTCACTTCTCAGCCAGAATCTAAGACATAGTCCACATAGTCCTGTCCTGAGCTAGACTCCCAGGAAGGCTCTGCTAAGAATCCTGGATGGTTATGATCTCTTAGGGGGGATGTCAAGAGGGAGTGGGAAATGGAAGGGCAGTGGAGAGAGCAGGGGCTTTAGAAGGCAGGGGTGTGCTGGAGGGGGGGCAGTGGGCATGTGGGTACAGGTGCATAGGGCAGCAGGTACAAGTACCCAGACCACACATTGGTAGGAGCACAGGTTGCTGTAGGACCCTGTATTCTCTGGGTGGCTCTCTGTGTCCACTGGCTGTGCCTGAAGGTTACCAGAAGTGGCAGGGGTAGCTTGAGGTGCTGGTCCATCTTACTGTGCCTAGAGGGTTCCATGAACTGGTGGTCACACGTGAAGTTCAGCTCTGCAGGGCTGTGTGGCAGTACCTGGAGGAAACATGCCAGGGTTCTCAGTCGGGCAGCAGGGGGAGGGCCCAGGCTGAAGGAGAGCAGTTTTAATTAACCATTTTTAATATCATTTTGGACTTTGGCTGGTATGTGAAGGCCCCGCTGGAAGCAGCATTTGTAAAAATTAAATCCCTCTTATTAGGAGCTTGCCAGACCCATGTGCACGTGCTGTTCCTCCCCCCTCCCCTGCCCCCCTGAGGAAGTGCTGGATGAGGCCATGTCACGGTAGCAATTGGTTATCACGCCTTATCTGGGAATATGAAACTGCGCGGCATAACACCCGCGGCCACGGTGGAGACGCCAATTCATCTCACCCTGGCTCTGACAAGCTAGACTGCCCTTCCTGAAAGGCATCCGTCAGGCGGGACAGGGGCTGACGCCTTGCTTGGTGCCCCTGCTTTCCTGACATGGGTGCTAGCTTGCCCTGGTCCAGCCTGGTCCTCCTTGGCTCACTGCCCTCCACCCCCCCTTCCACACGTCCCAGTCTGGGGAAGTTCTTGGGGAGTCATTATTATAATAATAATCTAATCATGCTGACACGCATTGGGGCAAGCATCTAATGTTATCTGGAGTGGTCTTCCCGCTTAACTGTGATAAGACTCAGGATGACGTGCAGATAACGTTGAGCTGCCCTGTCCCCGAGCTGAGAGCAGAGCAGAGGGGCCTCAGCAGCCCTGCCGCCCGCCGCTTTAAGCCGGGAAGCGGCAGCACCTGCTAATGCAAGTGTTTAATATTTGATGGGCTGGGATAAAGCAGGATCACCTTCGAATTGAATTGAGTGTCAGCCGAGAATCTATTACTGAAATTCGGGTGTGATTTGACAGCAAAGTAGACGATGTTATTCTTCACTAGTTACTGCAATCTTCTCCCCGACATCACTTAAATATTTTTTTCTTTGCTTGAGTAAACACACATTATCCTTCTTTTTTCCCCTTCCTTCCCTTTTTCCTTTTTAGAAGGAGAAAAAAAAACCCATCCAGCTTGCCTTCTCCAGGCTGATAGAGTAGATTGTTATTTCTTTATTTGTCCTATTAAATGGAATTTCTGATCGTTTAATCCGGCCTTTGTAAGTGATTTTAAAGTACTTGAAAGCCGGCCCGCCACTGCTCTCTGGCCCACTGCACTCCAGCCATGGCCCTGACCATGCATAGCAGCTTCTTCAGCTATGCACCACCCACTGGCTGCTTTCCCTGCCTGCCTGTGTTTCCTGGGCTCTGCCCTAGCTCAAAGCCAGGGACTTCTCCCCTGTCCTTGAGTCTTACATTCAGCCCCCAATTTGTGGTTGGAGCTGTAACTTGGGAAAGGGTGGGAGGGTTGGCTGGGGTGTTGGGCTGTGGCTGGTACCCCTGTGGTAAAGGAAAATGGCTTTGGAGGGTGCTGAGGGTGAAGTACACTGGCTCCTAGCCTTTCAGTGCCCATGGGGCTGAGGCTTGGTTCCTGCAGCTGGGCACGAAGGGTACTAACCCTCTGCCCAGCTCCTTGCCCCTGGCACAGACTATGTACAGCCTACTGTCTTTAGTTTCTGAACCTTTGCTGGATGCTCTCCTTTGTGAAGGAGGCTTTAGTGGGATGGGGACTTCCTGGGCCCAGTGAGGGGCACTTCAGTGCCTGTCTGACCATGGCTGCAGTCACTTTAGTATCATGAGCGGACTCACCATCTGACTTCTGGGGACTCACCCAAGCTTCATTCCCATTCACCATTGTCCCACACTCCTCCTGCTACTAGGAGAAGGGCAGCCTGATGTTTGGGGACTTCTAAAGTGAGGGGATGGGTAATGTTTGAAGTATCAGTTAGCTGCGCAAGCCCACTGGTAGAAGCCCAGGACTTTGGTAGCAGGCTGAACAGGAATTAAATTCCCATTGGACCACTTAATAGTGTTCTAACCCTTATATGTCTCTTCTTTCTGGGTCTCAGTTTCCTTACCTGTGACATTAGGTCTTCATGCCTGTAAGGAATTGTAAGAACAGGTGCCATTCATGTCCTACCATGTGTCCTACCCACCCCCCTCCATGGAGGTTGGAGGCTGCCAGGTGACAGGAGTAGGGGATAGAGGGGGGCAATGAAGTGCCGGGGGTCTGAGCAGATCGATGCCCCCAGCACTTCCTTCCCCAACCCCAGGAAAACAATTAAGTACAGATCGATGGGTGGCCGCTTTGAATATGCATAAGTGAGCACTTGACCTTCAGCAGAGATCTGCTTCCCCCACACACACACACACACACACACACACACACACACACACACACACACACACACCACCCCCCACCACCCCCCTTCCTGTGCTCCCCTCACAGCTGCTTGAGTCAACCAGGTGACCTTACTCCTCAGTGGAGCTCCCACATGGCACTCAGCCTCTACAACCTCACCTGTCTCTGTGTCAAAAGCAACTTGACCACAGGCAGGTGGTTGGCCCCCTCTCGCTTCGATTTTCATATCCGTGAAGTTTGAATACATTGGCCTCCAAGTCCTTCCAGATACCAGTCTCTGTGACCAGTAATACTGTGGGGAGGGGGCCCAGCAGAGTGCTAGGGACTTTGGAGAGGAAGGAATTTACGGGCAAAGGAGGTACCCTAATGAGAGGAGGAGTCCTGACAAGAAGGAACTTAGTAAATGGGAGCTCTCTAGAGGAGCTGGTGAGGGGGCACCCAATGAGGGTCAAGGCTCTCTGATGGGGAGAGATGCCCAGGAGAGAGGGAGCTCTGGAGGAGGAAGGGGTTTTCTGATGGAAGGGAGACCCAGTGAGGGGACTCTCATGAAGTGGTATTATGAGTCTTGGGGGGAAGATTTGGTGGGGGAGGGTGAGTGATGGGTTGGTTCAGGGGTCAGGGCCTCTGTTAACCATTCTTGCCTCCTGTCTTCTAGGCTTACAGCTTCGCCATGGGCTGCTGGCCCAAGAATGGACTTCTAGACATGAACAAGGGCCTCAGCCTGCAGCACATAGGCCGGCCCCACAGCGGCATTGGTCAGTCCTTCCACATGTCCCCCTGGCAGCTCAATCAGTCCCCTGCCCACATGTCCCAGTCCCCTAGCACACAGAGGGGTTCTGTGGCTCTTTCAGTGCTCTTAACAGCGTGCTCTCTGTAGCTGGGGAGAGTGGGGAATGGAGGTGGCGTCAGGGGAGAGTGGAACCAGACCACTGGAAAGGGTCTCTCAAAACAATATTTAGGAGAAGACTCACAGGTAGCCTTGGATTCGAGCCAAGGTACCCCCACCGTGGGCTGCGTCTCTGGTGGTTGCGTCTCTGGTGGGTGATGTCCTCAGAGGGGTGGGCACATGTCAGCTCACCCACCCCCCATGGAGCTGGAAGAGGCTGTTTAATATTGTTTCAAGTCTGTGGCCACTAAACTGGGCAATCAATGGGAGTTAAGGAGATGAATTATTTAAACCTCACCAGCTTTTAATTAGTCGGGGTCCTTCTGACCGATGGCTCCATCCACAGGGTATTGACTCCCCCGCAGGAGCAGCAGCCTCCATTGAGCGGTGCCTGGGTTGGGAGGGGTCATTTGGGGTACCAGGTGGGGGTGCACCCTCAGGGAGATTATTGCTTGGGAGGGGGCTGGAATGGCTGTGGTTCTAGGCATTGGAGGCTCTGCTAGCCTCTGATCTGTCAGTATGGATACGTTTCTGTCTGTGAGTGTGTGTGTGTGTCTGAGTGTGTCTGACAACTTCAGCTACTTGTCTCCATGTGTCTAAGAGTATATATGTGTCTGTGTACATCTGTATCTGAGGGATGCATGTGTGTGTAACAGTACATACATATTTTCTTGAGGTCAGTATCTGTATATGGTAGCAACTGTCAGCTTGTCAGAAAGTATGTCTGTTCGTTTCTGTGTATCTTAGTGTGCATATGCACACATGTGCATGCAAATGCTACCAAGCAGGCATAAGCTTTGTTCCAAGTGGGGAGGAGCAGCAGTATTCTTGGGTGGTGCTACAACATTATCATAACCTATGTACCTTTGGGGAAGTATCGGGTTGAGGGGAGGGGACTGGCAAAATACACCAAAAGGGCCCAGTCGCCTGCTACAAACGAGTCCGTCATCCTCTCCACAGATACCACTGGTTCCTGGTGCGTGCTGGGCATTCTGAGTAAAAGTTCCTGTCCTCAGGGAGCTCACATCCTGGGATGAGACAGAGACTGAACTGGGCATTTGCCACCCGAGGCACTGAGGGCTGTGATAGAAATATCAAGGCTGCCCCAAACAAGGTTTCCTCAGTTACCAAGGGAGCTTCTACTCCTTCATTTACATCCCACTGACTTCTGGGATGCCCTGTGTCATTCTTTTTTTTTTTTTTTTTAAATATATCTTTAATGATTTCGGAGAGAGGAAGGTAGAGAGAGAGAAACATCAATGATGAGAGTCATCGATCGGCTGCCTCTTGCATGTACCCCACTGGGAATGGAGCCCGCAACCCGGGCATGTGCCCTGACCGGGAATCGAACCCCAATTGCCTGGATTATAGGTCAATGCTCAACCGCTAAGCCGCTCCCGGCCGTGCTCTCGTGAGGTTTTGGTGAGACAGAGGAGGTTTGTGAGTGAGAAAACAGCACGATCAGAGCTCTGATTCAGAATCACTGAGGCACTCTGCTGCACAGACTAGTTCTTAACAGGTGCTCAGTTCAATCAGGTGAATGAATGAATGAGTTGATGAGGCAATGGAAGAGTGATAGGAAAGGTCCACAGAGAATGAGGACCAGTGAGAGGACTTGCATTGGCCCAGGGGAGGAGGAACTGCCTGTAATTGAGTCTGGCTAGTGGGAGGGAGCAGGACTGGGTTAACTCATCCTGCCCACCCTGGAGCTGGGTGCCTTGCTTCTATGTATCTGTCTAGGGTGTGTTTTTGAGAGGAGGCTTCCTTGTTTCCACTCTTTGCTGCCTCCTGGGACTCAGTGGTGTCCCTCTTGTCTCTTCACTCATGTTGATTCTGGGTTAGGACCCCTTAAGTGTTCTTTCTTCATAGGAGAAGGTTTTTCCATCTGGGTGGGCCCCAGGGGATAGCCCAAGGCTGTGAGTGACAACAGAGTAAGTAAGGGCTTTGGAGCCAGAAGTTCTAGTTCTACCATCCAGAGCCCTGTGACCTTCCTCTCATGGTTGTTGGGAAGGTTCAGTGAAGTCAGCTGTGTGAAGGGCTTGTGCAGTGCCTGGCACATGCAAACAGTGGGTGCTCGAGGACACTGGGGGTTCCTGACATTTGGTGTTTGTATTTTTGAATGAAGAGGGCTGCCCTGCCAGCTCCTGGCTGGTTCTGAGGTGTGGGTGAGGGTGCTTGGAAGGGAGGGAGGATGCAGGGCATTAATTGGGCTGGGAGAGGCGGGGAGGGGAGGCATGGGTTTTGAGCAGTGAGGTTAATGGCCCTCGCGCCAAAGAGACAGCTTTAATGAGCTTCAGCTGGCGGTGCCCCGAGTTACTGTGCGTGCTAAAAGGGTCGCGCTGTAAGAGTTTGATGTGGACTATTTCCCAGCCCTGGGGTCAGGGGTCAGCTGCTGTCACTGGCCACTCAGGCTGGTCCTCAGTGACATGGTGCTAATTAACTGTGTGAGGAGCTGCCAGCCTGGAGTGGGGAGTGGTATGTATATTGAGGGGTGGGGGGGAGGTAGCACTGGTTATGCTGGGCAAGGGTCCTGCAGATTCTCACAGTTTAACAATCTCCAGGATCTGCTTGGTTCTCCCATAATGCCATGGGAGGGGGTAGTGGCTCAATGTGCAAATCACCAATGACCCTTGGCCCATCGATGATCCTGAGCCTCTTTCTAAGGTATGTGTGGCAGGGGGAGCCTGTGGGGCCTACTTGGCGGGGACTCCTGCTGAGCATTGGGTGGTGGAGGTGCTGAGAGAGCAAAGGAGCAGGCATACTGGAGGGGTAGACTGATGGGAGGGGCAGAGAGATCCAGCTATAGAAGGGGAGAAGGCCGCTGGGATGTATATGGGTAGCTGAGCTGTTTGAGGGGGAATGTGGGAATGTTCAGGCAGAGAAGTGACCTGGTTAGAGTTGGGCTTTGGTCAGAGCAGCCTGAGAGTACACAGGGAGGACTGCTGAGGAGAAATTGCAGAAGGGAAGGTGCAGTGAGGCACATGGAGGTGATGGTTAATTCAGAGCCAGCAGTGGCTGTGGGAATGGAGTCAGGACCAGGTCAGTGAACATTTACCTTGCTCCTACTATGTGTCAGGAGCTGTGATAAGTGCTAGAAATATATTGGTAAAGATGACAGACACAGTGCCCAGCCCCTACAGAGCTCACAGGCACAGTTCAGGATGGGGTAATAGCTTTGCCTTGAGGACTGAGGAGGAGAGAGGGCTCAGGGACGGAAGCAGTGAAACTCTGGGAGGAAAGGGGCTATAGGGCTGTCAGCATGGCCTCTTAGTCAGGGGAGGGATGCCTCTTCCTTGGGAGAGTGGATTTGGCCTTGTGAGCCTGGTGACCAAGGTGGTGCTAGAGTGGCCTGTGAGTGAGGAGGGACTGCATGTATGTAGAACTTGCTGTTTTGTGGGCTCTGTCAGCTTTCTTGGCTTGGTCCAAAGGCTCTCGGCAGGCAGCCTCCACCAGGGACTGCTGAGTGCTGTGTGGTTTTGTTTTCATTTCTGCCAAGCGTCAGCAAGGCACTCACATTATTTAGGGGCACTTTATGTTAACTAATTTAATTTTCACACCAGTATTATGAAGGTCAGCATCATCATTCCCATTTTATTGGTTAGGGAACTGGAGCTTAATTAGTTAAGTGACTTGCCTGAGGTCACACAGCCAGTTGACCTGAGGAGCAAGATTCAAACCCAGGTGCATCTAAATGCAGAGCCTGTGTTCTAACCACTGTGCTGAACTCGAAGTGCTTTTTTGGTGTCAGGCTTTGTGCTACCAACAGAGACAATGAGGAAGAACACAAGTTCACTTCCCTCACTTCCTTCAGTGTGATGAGAAACATTTAGGCCTTGACAAAGCTTCAGTAGCAACAACTGAGGAGGAAAGGAAAGGAGGTGTTGCCACCCCTTCACTTCCGCTGTAGTCTCGCTCAGAGCTAGGGCTCCGCAACCATTGGCTTCTGACCTCCTGACGTCTTTCTGACCCCGACAGTTCTTACTTTGTGAGTTGGGTTTGTTCTCTACCTCTTGGCTCAGGAAAACCTGCCCATCTTCCAGGGGCCACCTCCTCTTGGAATCTTGCCTGGCCTTCCCAGTGTGAGTATACAGAATATACCTTTAGGCCCCAATTATAACTTGTTTACTAATGATCAGTCCCCATATACTTTACCTCTCTAAGGGCAAGATCCAGGCCTCCTTTGCTTCTTTCTTTTTGGAAATCTGCACAGGAAATGTTAGTAAAATCTAACCAGTTATTGGGACGTGGAGGCCCCATAGACTGTTGGTTTCAGCTGGTTGGGAGAATAACTGGAACCTTCCCTGATGCCCAGCTGGGTGGTCCTACCCTTATTGCTTCACCCCTCTGCTCAGGGATTGAGGAGGGCCCCTCCAAGGCTCATGGTAAGGCGGGGTGGCCAGACAACAAGTAGGTTCTCTCAGGGACTTATAGCCCAGCACAGTTTGGCAAGAGAGCTAGGCTGGCAAGTGGCAGGATGGGGGTCTGGCCCCAGGAGGGCAGTACTGGCCTGTGGTCTCCCCTGAAGGAGTGGGGTGTCTATCAAGAGTCTAGTCAGAGCACATTAGCTTTGTGACATGGATCTCATTAGCACCTTGAAGAGGTGTCACTGCGGGAGAATCATCGGCTCAGGGAGACTCTTGTACCAAAAGGAAGAAAGGACAGTGACAGCCTTTTCTCTGCTGTCTCTGCCACCAGCTCCCTGGGCCGCCTGCCCTCCTCCTCCTAGTGGGGGTGTGGGGGTGCTGGCTAATGAGCTCATCTACAGTACAGCTTTGCCTTCCCCTCCTTGAAGTTCTCCGGGTCCCTCTGAAGACCTCAGGCCTAGGATTAGCACACACCAAACACCAGCCCCCCTCTTGCCCAGCAGGG